GGTGTTGGAGGGGGGGGGGGACGCAATGGTACTTGTCCAGCTATGTGCCCGGCCCAGTACAGTACTTCCTTTCTGCTTTCGATTACATGCCCTTCGTTCAGGACCGCTGTCCGATCACCGTTTAGCGGACATGGTAGCGAAGGGAGGTTCCCTCGTTCTATAATTTTCTCAGTCAGTTAGTTCTCAATTAAGTGTCACTCCTCAGCTTTCCTGAATGTCAATGTTTCACACGCATACGACATCGCCGACGCGACGAGAAATCGCAGAAACGATTCCGTACACAAATCTATTGATAAAATATAACGCGATGTTCTGGGACAACTGCCATTAAACCTGTGCATGCAACCACTGTTACTCATCGAGTCACTTGACCACAGCTTATTCCGTGCTTTGCTTGCGCTCCTTGATTTGCCTCTTTCCTTGAAATGATTTTCGTGAAGGTTTGGTCCCTGTTATGCCAGCTAGTGTAAGGGAATGGCTTGATTCACTTCCCAATAAACTACCATGGCCAGGGGTCAACATGCTCAAAGCCAAATCAATTTCAACGGGATTTTTGACTCACGAATAACAAAATCAAACGTAATTTTTAAGGATCATATCCATACACTGTCGTAAATGCTTTGAAGATGAACGGAGTTCTGATGCCATGGTTCACGGATGATGACCGATGCCAACGCTTGTTGCGGTCGAAACGTTAGGATTTTTGTAAATAAAACTTTTTCGTCTTTCCCGCGTTGCCAACGATATAATCAGATGACACATCACCAATGAAAGTCCGATTATTGTTCCTTTCGGTTATATGAATATAAGTAGATTGTTTAGCAAGATCAGATTATGTGATTACTTGATTCAATTATCGAAATCAGCATGAAATACGGTTTATTAATACGCAACAGATGATCAGCATCCACATGTCTCACGGACCTTCTTCAAACTGCGGAGGAGGGTTGGCTTCAGATGAGGTTATAGTACGTTTGGAGCCAGAAGGCCCAGCTCAGTTATTTTTGAAATTAAAAAACGAATAGTGTTATGTATGAAAAAATATCTTCATCTCATAACGCTCAAAACTTTGCTTGAGGCCTAATTTTGAATCC